GCCCGGCGCACTGGGGGTACGTGCTGGGCGGCCGGGGCCGCGGCCCGGACGAGTACGAGAAGCGCTACAGCAGCGCCTTCCCGCCGCAGCTGCGCGCCCAGATGCGCGACCTGGCGCGGGGCATGTTCGTCTTCGGTTACGACAACTACATGGCGCACGCCTTTCCCCAGGACGAGCTCAACCCCATCTACTGCCGCGGCAGAGGGCCCGACCGCGGGGACCCGTGAGTACCCTGCGCCCGCCCGACGCGCGCACCCCACGCGCTCCCTTCCGACTGCGCCGGCGTGCGGCCACCCGTCCTCCCGGTTCCCCGAGGGATGACAGGGCCTTTAGGGTCCTGGGGCCAGTGCCCGTCGGCGCGAGGCTTTGGCCGGCCTCCATTTGGGGTTTCCCCTGGGTTTAGGAGGGACCGGTGGGTAGGCCGATGGCTGTTACCTCTCTTGATTTCCCGGAAACTACGAAATTAGGGACAGCTATCTAGCTCAGCGTCTCACGGATGGGGAAGCTGAGGCCCAGAGACTGTACGGGACAGTGGCAGTGCTAGAGGCTGGCTAGCGGGCTTTCGAGTCCTTTCTCGAGCCCCTTCTCCCGATGAACGTTAAATCAGAATGAAATCTATGGTTCCCGAGGAAGCCAGCTTCAGAACAAGCCCTTATTCTCCCCCCCTCTCCTTTCCCTTCCTTTTAATCAGGTTGTCACACCCAGGTCTTTGCCATGTAAGGATTCAGGAGCTGGGCTGAGACGCGACTTTTCCAAAGCCACCAGCAAGTTACAACCTCTCTGCCCCCCAGGAAGTGTGGGTAGATGGGACAGAGGGAAGTTTTTGGTGCAGACTTGGCGTCCAGATAGTGGGGGTGAGATTCCTTGGACGCTGAATGGACTGTCGACGTCATTGCCCTGTGCTCCTCTGTCCCATATGTTCCTCCACTTTGGTGACCGTGCTGTCAAGGAAAGGCAGCCAGCCCTCATCGGCCATAGCCTTGTTTGCAAAGGCTGAGCTCCAAGGGTCACTGCTGTTGACCTCTAAGTCCAAAAGGCCAGCACACCCAGCTAAGAACCTCCTTACCTAGATGGTAAGGACGGGTGTGCTTTGCCACAACACTGTTAGGCCAGACAGGTAACTCCCCTGCGCCGCCCTGTGTTCCCTCCCCAAGGCTGGGCTGGGCTGGGCTGGGCTGGACTGGTCTGAGGCATTGCGTTGCTCAGTGTCCCTGTGTAGCTTTGGATGTTGGGGACAGGTATTTTCCGTCCTCTTTTGGAAAATGGAAAGCATCAGAGTCCCGCCCTTAGGTTCTAAAAAGAAGCATGCACTAACGGCCCTCTGAAGAGTTTTTAAATGGTTTGATTACCATGAAGCGAGGACACATCCCACACTACAGAGGATGGGGCCTTTAAAAATTTTGTAGGAAACCAGTAAGTTATTTTTCTTGCTTAATCATCAGCCCTTATACATATAAATGTATTTTCTAGCTTGAAGGGTTTGAGACAGAAGTATTACATTTTGAAAAAAAAAAGTGTTGGGTCTTTTGAAATCATAGGGAATGAATGAATCATTTATCTCCATTGATTAGACTGGATTTCTAACGTGGAAGACTGGGTTTATAACCATGGATGTATTTCTTTCCATCTTTTAAAATTTTTTTAGAATAACCTTGATTACTTTTTTTTGAAAGTCTAAAATCCCACCAGTTATTTGAAATTTATCTTTCCTGCCAGCTCTTGCCCATAATCCTACACATTTCTTACATAGTAGCAGTGTGTGTACAATTCTGCCCAGCAGTTTGCGTTGTCAGTAATGCCGCTGGTGTTACGAGAAGGGAGAGAGCGCTTTCAGTAACTACCCTTCTCTCACACGCTGTGTCTCCGATTTCCTTTTACAGGGACCTACTGAAGGAAAACAATATAATGGGGATTCGTGATAACACTTTGTTTTGGGAATATGATGGTCTGGAGCGTGTTTTTACTGTTTTGATTAATGAACCTCGAGAACTCTCTGGAGGACTGGGAGCCCCTCTCCAGCAAAGTGAGGTGGTAGAGACCCTGGGGCCTCAGGTGTGACCTAGGTGCTGATTTCAGGATGAAGTTCGCTGGTGTCTATTTGGGCTTGCTTGTACAGCGGCAGTCTGGAGGTCAAGGCCAGCCAGGTTGATTTGTGCTAGATTTGGTGTTGGACGGATGTTGTGAGAAATATTGCAGGCGTAGGGCGTTGATGGCACTTGGGCAGGCTTGTGCCCGGAGTTGTGAAAGCCTTTCGGTTGGTAAACCTTTTTGTCTTTGAGGAGGTGAGGGAGCTCTGGGTTTGTGGTGGCCTTAGGGAGACCCTCCTTCTGGTCACTTAGGAAGAATAGAAAAGTTCACTTTTCGTATTCCCCCTTCCTTTAATTAACTCCCCTCAGGCTTTGATATTTTGGAGAAAAGTTGAGAGCAAAAACTTTGTCATTCTGGCTCTGGATCCATTGAGCCCATTTTATATTTCCCAGATAAATAACCTGTAGTACAAATCTGTCAGATTTTTAAAAATCAGACATATCCTCTTGTTTGTTAAGTGTCTTCCAGTGATTTGTGTAAAAAAAAATAGTGTATTGTTTCTTAGTCTTTTGGTTAAGATCAAATGTAAAAAATAGTGAACTTGCCATTAGAATAATATGTAAGAAATACAGAAACAAAATATAGATGCCAAATGTGTGTCATGTCTTTTCAGTCACCTTTACTGACTGTCTCATTTGACTGCGGGCAGGTGGGAGTCCATATGAAGGAAGCAAAACCTGAACCTGCCAAAGACAGCATATCCTTTCTGCCCAGCTCCAGGCCACTGTGCTGGGACAGTCCTCTCACATCCCCACTTTCTCTGCCTAGCTCCAGGCCGCCGTGCTGGGACAGTCCTCTCACATCCCCACTTTGGGTTGGAACGTCCAAGTTCAGTCTCTCCGAGTAAATTTAGGTGTTTCTATAATCCTATGAAGACCAACCAGTTGAGCCCTGGCCCTGAGACCACTCTTGCTTTGTCCTTAATCATATTGCTAAAAGCAAATCTCAAATGAACAAACTTGTCAGATATTAGACTCCAAACTGACTCTGCACTCCTCATTTAAGATGGCCTCCTCTGCGTTCCACTTTCTTTTTTCTTTTTCTAACTTTGCTATAGGGCACGTGCACTTGCTGGAGAGAGACAGAGAGAGAGAGAGAGAGAGAGAGAAACTGAGCCATCACCCTGAAGGGGAATGGCCATACCGCAATCCCCTCTCCCCTACTCCCCTCTTGGGACTTGGGGCACACACGCATACACGTCCCTCTTTCTTTCTAAAACCTTGCCCTCCTTCAGAGCCTGGGTCAACACGTTTTTTCCCATGACGCTGTATTGAACTGTCTGAACATGGTTCTCCTTGGTTTACTCAGTTCTCCTTTTGAGCTGGCTCCACATCACAAGGTTGTTTGAGAAGTGCGTGCTCAAACCCACCTTCATTTCCTTTGCTTTGTCTCCACCCGATTATCAATCCCTTGAGTGCAGGGACTGGTTCTTCATCACTGTGCCCGGACAGCCCCAGGTAGATTCCTGAACAGCTGTTACAGGTCAAGTGTCTGTGGGAGTCTTTTTTTAAATGCACATGTTTGATTTTGTTAGCTATGTGAGCACACATTTTCTATCAAAGGCTATAACTTTCTCCACCTTTCCTGTATGGAGAGAATAAGAACTTTAAAATCCACAGCAAGGTGAATTAGGTGGGGAGTGCAGCAGTGGTTTCATGTGCGATGTGCACGCTTAGACCTTGCCCAGCCTGAGAAGCTGGACTTCTTGGCTTGAGACACTTAAAAGGTATCATGGACAAGAATATCTACAAAGCACCAATCCAGTCTGATCTGCATAGTGGGCTGGCAAAAATACAGACACAGTCATTTCATGCCCTTTGGCCAAGAGGGTTTTATGAGGTCTTATTTTCTTTTATTTCCCTCCTTTCTTTTTATCTATTTTCAGATATTTTGAAAGAGTAGATACCAGTTATTTAGTAGCTGAAAAGAATTAAAAGTGTTACAACAAACATCCCAGACCTTTGTAGTGGTTCGTCTGACTAGAGTGGAACAACCTTACAGTTATTATACGTGTTTTTATTTTTACTCTGCTAACTTTTTTATTTATTTATTTTTGGTAGGTTTTTGCCATAGGGTGATGCACTTGCTAGAGAACGAGAGGGAAAGTGAGAAATCAGCCCTCAGAGGGGATGGCCATGCCACAATCCCTTCTCTTTTTAGGATTTTGGGCATGCACACACATACCTGTAGTGATTTTCAAACTGCCAGGTCTGGGACTTGACCTGTGGTCAGCCATGTGGGAGTCCAGTGCCTTAACCTCCACATCATCTGCTGACTGCACTCTGGCAACTCTTTTTTTGTTTGTTTTTCTGTAAAGAATTATTTTATTGAACTTTATTTTTTATCCATTCGTTTATTTTAATTTGATCAGAGAGGGGCAGAGAGAGAGGAAAAGTGACAAAGCAAGCCTCTGGGTCACTTGAACCACGGTCAACCATGTGGGAGTCCAGTGCTCCCAACCACCATGGCACCTGCTGGCCCCACTCTCTGGCACTCTGGCAACTCTTATCCACTCGTATTAACTACTCGAGCATTGTGGTGAGAATGAATTAGAACCTGGGTCCATTTTCATTACCGACTAAAAGGAACAGCACCGTAAACTTCTCCCAGTCAGTAATCCCTGTGCAGGTAGAAGGGCTGGCACATGCCATAGCTCAGGGTGTGGCTCAGGACAGGTCAGAGTGAGGGTCACTCGCCTACCCTATAGCTTGGATGCCCATGACAAGGGACCATTTCTGATGAGGCAGGTTGGGACAGACCTTCTTTGTTTTGAAGCACCAGAGCCCTGTAGCTGAGTGTTTAAACCCAGCAGAATATTTTTGAGTTGGCAGAACTAAGCCCGAGGAGCTTCCTGTCTACTTGGACCCCCTCCTCCAACCTTTGCATTTCCTGCATCCATTCTGGCTGGCACCGCCCTCGAGAAGCACATGAGAATTCATAGCTCTTGTCTTGAGGGGACCTTTTGCTATTATGTGAGTTTATTTGGAAAGAACAGACACGGCACAGGGTTGCAGTCGTGTGGTTTGCGTACTTTACAGCTGTGAAAGCCCTCGTTCTGTTGATAGACCCCTTCTATTGATCTCTAGCTTGTTTCTTAAAACCGTGTCTGAAATGTTGCTGTAAATTCTTGGTCCTAGATGAAGTGGCGTAACGCAGCCTCACACAAGGCAGCTGGAAGGTTCAGATAAGATCTGAGGTTGAGGCTGTTTGTGTTTAGGTCATGTGAGGCCTGTTCACTCCCTCTGAGACGGGCAATGCCTCCAAGAGCGCGGCGAACCCCATGAGCCCATGGAATGGGGTGCTGCTGTTCCCAGGTGTTCTGTCACAGGGATGGCCCTTTAGGGTGATCTGAGGAGCAGATAAAGGGACCCAGGGATGGGAGGGAAGATGGCAGGCATCGGTGAATCTGTTACTGGGAATAAAAGTGAGCCTTTTCATTTTTGGTCTCTAATAAATACAAATTTAAAATATCTATGTTATCTCCTCTCTATCGGGTTTTTTTTTTTTTTTTCTTAATAAATGCAAATTTAAACTATCTCTTCTCTATCGTTTTTTTTTTTTCCCCAAGTTCTGCAATTATTTTCAGGGTTCATGGGGCAGAAGAGTAAGTGAAGTCCCCTGAATTTCTCAAGCTGTGCTGTTACTTCCACTGTTTCTGCATCCCTGCCAGGCCCAGTTTTTGTTGTCTTCATTGATTTTAGTGTTGCAAAGATATATCAGGGTGACTGGGGAGCTTTACCCTGTTTGCATCCTAAAGTTGGTTTCTTGAGATTGTTTCAGAATGAAAATTGGTGTTGGAGATGGTGTGGGACAGGAGTGGCAGAAAAGTTCTTAGAGTTCCAGTTCAAAGGGGGAAGGGCCTCTATTCCTGCTTTGGTTCCCTAGTAGAATTAATAGGAATAATGGGGATTCTTGGGAAGAGATGTCATTGAATTATCCCCCCTCCCCCATCCAAGGGACAGAGGGGTGAGACTGAGACTATAGCCAATCGCGTTTACATCTTTTTGTGTGTAGCTGGCTAGAGTGTCTAATTCCTGTGTTAAACTATGACATGTTGGTTACCTGACAGGATTGCCCCTTTAGTTCCTAGCGATTGCAAAATCAGGGCCTTTCGAAGCTGGCAAAGGTTGAAAGAGATCGTTTATGGTGATGCAACTGCCTCAGAGGGGGCAGAGGACCCTCGTTCACGGCCCCCTCCCCATCAGGTTCTTTCCACTGTGGTGCAGACGTGCTGTACAAGGGCAGGACGGCATCTCTGCAGCACCCAGCTCACCTCTACTTTGAAACGGTGGCTTTTGAGACAGAGAGACCTCTGCCATTCAGTCCTCCCATAATTACTTCCCAAATGATAAATAAGAGTTAGCAGGCAGTCTTGTTATTAAAAATAATACAAAATAAAGTGAGTAAGCTTAATTTAAATCTCACTTCTTTTTCAGCTCAAACCTGAACATCAATGATGTGCTCGGGAACTACTCGCTGACTCTGGTCGATGCCTTAGATACACTTGCAGTAAGTGTTTGTTTTGTTTGTTTAAAACTGAGATAAGATATTTGGGTTGATAACGCCTATTTTCTCCGGGAATGAGAATCCAGGGAATTGGATACTTAAGATACTCAAACTTATTGATAACTTGGATAGCTTTTATTTATCTGCTATGCTCTATGTGTTGAGAGCTTCCATGACTTATTTGGTGATAGGAACTAGGAGAGCAGAAAAAAGTGTTCAAGGTTAAATGAAGGGAAATGCGATTCCTCTAAAAACAAATGGAGAAGAAATGTGTGATGGTTCTTGGGTAACCAGTTTTTCTCTCAGTTGGCCACTATCTTCAGTTTTTGCTATAGGGCATTCTCCAGAGAGACAGAAGGAGAGTGGGAAAGCACTCTCTGAGGAGCTGACCACTGTGTAGTTCCTTCTCCTCCTTCTCTTCTTGGGCTTGCACCCACGTGCCTGGCATGATTTTTCAAACCTTGGACTCTGGCACTCAAAACATGAAATCAGCCATGTGGGATCCAGCTCCTGAACGTGCTTGCCACCTGCTGACCTCAGGGCCACTCTCTTACCTCCTAAAGGGATCCATGGAGAAGTCCATCAACCCTTATAGTTACTATTCCAGGACTAAAAGAAAAAGACAGAAGACCTCAGGGTCAGCAGGACCCTGAAATCTCATTGAGCCCCTGCATGGGCTCCCCATGAGCATCGGAGCCCTGGTGCCAGCCCTCGTGCAGCTGCCCGTGAACACGCCTCTTCTGTCTCTCCTTGTCCACTCCACCCTCGGGCTGCCACCTGCAGTGCTGCCTTCCCTCTTCCTGTGGCTTCTGCACTGACTTTGGGCAGCGGGCGATCTTTGTATAGACGTGCAGGAGCACACTGAAGGCAGCCGGGCAGCGTGAACGTGGTCCCTCTTATCCGGTCGTGTGCTTGATCTGCTTCTCGACTCTTTGCCATAACATATGGCGTCCAGGTGGCTGTAGCCCGGCACAGCGTGGTGGTTTTAAATCTCCCTCAGACTGGGGAGTTTACGGCCGCCTTGCTCTCCTTCATTGTTCGGCAGGTCTTTACCATGAGAAAATTCTTACTGCAGACTGGCCCAAATAATGTACTGAATCATTTCTTTTAATGTCTTTTGGAAGAGTTTAAAGTCAGGTGGAACAGAGGTTAGGGCAGCTGGATCCCACATGGTCAGCTCCACGGTTTGAGTCTTAGACCCGGTGGCTTGAAAATCATGCTGGGCATGTGTGCATCATGCCCAGAACACCAAGAGGAGAATGGAAGAGAAGGGCTTGCGTGGCCCCTCTTGGTGGTGATTTCTCACCTCCCTCTTGTTGGCAGTGCATAAGCCTTGTAGTATGAAAGAAAAAAAAAAAAAAGAGTTCAGATTGTGTAATACCAACGAAGCTTGCAGTACAACCATCTACTGTCTTGTTTGTGGTAGGGCTCGCAGAATGCGGAAAGAGCTTGAGAGATCATTCTACATCCTTAATGTATAAATAAGTAGCACAAATAGGAGGAGGCTGTTGTTCTACTAGGAAAGCTGGTCCTGGCTTGCATTCAGCTAGTCTGTCATTGAAGAGCACTTTAGTTTCCCAGTTTCTCCTCTGAAGTGACTGCTGCTCCATTTCCGTCATCCACCATCACCGATCAAAATGTGGCCAGACAGGTACGTTCAGCCTAAACAGAGCTGGCTGATTCAGGTGCTAGAGGCTGACTCACCCTACATGCGTTGCTTAAAACAAAAAATCCTAAGACTCATATATAGCTTATGAAAGCTCACCCCTCCTCCCTGAGCTCTTTTCTTTTTATCCCCGTCATGCATTTAAATACAAATACATTATTTCCATTTCTCGTCATATCCTCCCCCACACTGAGTAATAGCTGGTATATAGTAGAGTGCAAAACACTTGTTCAGAAAATGAACTGTTAATCAGACATTTCCCAACACCAGTCCTCTCAGGTTTCTCTCAGGGTATAGTTCCCTGAGAGAAAAGTTCTTTTCCTAAATGAACTTGAAAAATTCTATATGTCTATTCCACAGTTAGAAACCCGCAATGCACATCAGTCTTTTAAAGGCTCTGAGAAGTCTTGCACTAAAGAAACCGATTTAACCCTCCTGTCCAATCCAGCTTTTCTTCAGCACGAGTGAATGACTTCATAGTCTGATTACCCTGGGCTCCGTAACGATCTGACTAAAATGGCAACTCACAATACGTCATTAAGAGTTGCTGGCTTCTTTCACCATCCTCCTCCCTAGCTCACATCGGCACCTGCAGCCCCAGGGGTTCTTGTTGCTGGTGAGCATCTGTGAGGAAGCAGCCCCATCCCTGTGGTTTTTATTGTCGAGTTTCCGGCCTTTCGTGTGCCCGTGCTCAGGCTTATTTTTCAGGTGTTACTTAGGCTGTGGGTTTCCTTTTCTCTGGCAAGCCTTTGAAACAGGCTCTAACAACTGTGCTATGGAAACTCACAGAAGGCAGCCTCCTGACCATTGGGTACAATTTGTACATTGTTGCATGATCTTTCAAAAAAGAAAGACCGAAAGCCAGAAAAGAAACATCTGTAGTTCTCTGTGTTACAAAAAAAATAACATGAGGGGAAATAAGATGTAGCAGACCAATAAATACTAGAAAATAAGCAGGCACTTGAAAGGACTAGTGTCTGGTGAAATGATTTGTATTTTTCTCATTGTGGGTTTGTTTGTTTTTGCAGGGGTGTTGTATGTGCACTTATCCTTATAATGTTATAATCCCAGTGTTTTCATAAAATTTCGAATAAAATGAAATTATTTCAGTTCATGTTAATGTATAACATTTTGTAGATTTGCACTTATTTTTGTCCTAGGAAAAACTTGACGTAAATGATAGCTTGGTATGACCTCATATCCACACACCCAAAATAGACATCATAATTCTAGATCACTTTTTTTCCATTGTCAGAGAGCACGTCTGCATAACATAGAACAAATGGGAAAGAGAGAGGGAGAGAGCGAGCTAATGAGCACAAATAACAGGGCGGCCATTCTGCAATCCTTTGTCGTCTTTATCTCCGTATTATCAAGATTTGGGCATGCATGCATATGTGCCTGGTGTGCTTTTTCAAGCTGCCTGGACCAGGATTCAAACCACAGTCAGTCATGTAGGAGCCAGATTCCTGTGTACAGGGCCTAACCTTGTGCTGTGGGGCCGGCCCTGTAGATCACTCTTTGAAAAGGATACAGAGCTGATAATGTGTATGTTTTGTTTGTTTTCAATGTTTCTGGTTTTATGTTCTTCTCCCAAAGATATGACTACTATTCCTCAAAGGGTTTGGACATCTGGGTACCAGCAGCAAGTTTAGTCTGTCTTCCAGATGTTTGACTCTCCTGGAAGCCCAGCACCTGAGCTGTTGATTTACTTGAGAAAGAGAGGGAACGCAGTATTTTTGTTTCTTCAGTTTTCAGGTTTATTTTTACCCATCCCAGAAGTTTAGGCGCGACAACACTTTGCACATTAAGCAAGATAAGACTGAAGTTTGAGGGGGAGTGGAGTGGGCAGAGAAGAGCGCTCATGGTTTGGGGAGGAATCTTGTACAGTTTTGCCATTTGGAGCTAGGATTCTGGAGTTGGAGGGAGCAGGCTTACCATCTATCCCAGAACGTGTTCTAAGATGTAACTGTACTTTCCTGCCTATGCACTCCTCCTCCTCCCATGGCAAAACCACACGCGCACACGTTGAGACGATTGTGTTGCCTCTGCTTCGTTACAAGCTGCGGTAATGGTCTGTGTTCCTCTTTTTAAAGATAATGGGAAATTCATCTGAGTTCCAGAAAGCAGTCAAGTTAGTGATCAACACAGTTTCCTTCGACAGAGATTCCACCGTCCAGGTCTTTGAGGCCACAATAAGGTAAAAATAGTACATAAAATGGATCAAAAGCTTTTGCTTGTGTGTAACGAGACAAATTCTTGTTTGGGAGTCTTCCAACCCCAAAGTCCAGGAGAAGAGTCCAGATAGAGCTGATGGATGCTATGTGCACTTTTCACGTTCATTGTTGAGTTAAAACTGAAATAGTTGACCTTTCAAAGAAGTCACATGTTGAATTGGGCAGGACACATGTATGTTTTATGGGAGGGTATAAGATAGGGTTCCCTCCAGTGAGTGGTTTCAAGGTTTGCCTTTGTCTGGTCTCATTTCCTTGCTTCATTGTGTCCTAGGAAACCCCCTGTGTATTTCTGGAGGAAATGAGAGTTTCTCACTTCACCACCCACAGAAAACCACTGCTTGCCATTTTGGTGTATTTCCTTTTTGTGTGTCTCTCACTCATCCTGCTCTCTCTGGGAGACATTGAGCTCATGCTCTGTGCCCGGTTTCTTATATTTTGCTTTTTGTGGTTCGATACCTTGTGATTATTTTTCCATCTCACCTTTTTTGAAAATTGTGTTACTGCAGAGTGTTCCAGTTTATAGATATAATATTTATTACAAACCGAGGCCCAGCCACAGTAGTGCGCACCAGGTGATGCTTCTCTAGGGGCCGAGGCCCGATGGGAGGGCTGGGTTCAGTTCCTGGTCCACTCTCAAAAGCTGGTGTGGAGGCATGCACCAATGATCCCAGTGACTCAGGAGGCGGAGGCAGGAGGATCGAACACAGTGAGACCCTGTCTCAAACACCACACACGCACACATACCGTAAGGAATATCAAAATTATGGAAGCATTTGTTCTGAAAAATGCTTGCAGTCCCCTTTGAAACATTGGAATGTAAAAGATGATAATAAAAAATGGATTTGAAAAAAAAAAAAGAACGAACATTGGAATGTGACATTCATGGATTTACAGTGACTTAGATTTAAGCTAGTTGCCTCCTATCTCTGAGTTTCTTATAAGGTTTACATTTTCCTTCCAACCTCCAAGTAAGATAAGAGTAATATAGTAATACCAATAGGTAATGTTGATTCTGAGAACACTTTGTATACTCCCTTTTTTTTAATGCTCAACCATTCACATGACCAAATATGTTAATATTTTAGTGGGGTTGTTCTGCACAGCCTCAGACGATGATTCCTTTTCGCCCGTCCAGTAGTTAGATGAGAATCAGTCATTTATTAGGAGAGTTGAAAAGGAGCCCATGAAGTCAAATCCCTCCAACTCCAACTCCAGGCCGTTCTGAGTCCATGGAGAAACTGGCCATTCCGTTGTCATGAATTGGAATGCTTACATTCACAAGCAACATGATCTTGTCTTTCTGTTCTTCCTGTTATTAGGGTCCTGGGAAGCCTCCTTTCAGCCCACAGAATAATAACCGACTCCAAGCAGCCCTTCGGTGACATGACAATAAAGGATTATGATAACGAACTTTTGCACATGGCCCATGATCTGGCTGTGCGGCTGCTCCCAGCCTTCGAAAACACCAAGACAGGGATCCCCTATCCTCGGGTAAGTGGGCCGTTTGATCTTTGAGTTAAACACCTTTGAGTTTCACCATCTTCCTGAATTAAAACCCTGTTTACTCATTTATTCGGGGGAAGGGATGGAGCTGAGGTTCAAAACAAAACAAAACAAACCAACCCACAGTGGTGCCCTTGGGAGAATTTGTTTGTAAATATGATGAAAACATCTGTTGAGTCCTTCAGTGTTTACTGAGCGCCTGCTGTGTGCTGGCCCACAGTGTCATGGCTGACCCGACCTAGGTTCCTGTGTTCAGTTTTCTTACTTTCTTTTACTTGTGTGACTTATATCCCCTGCTACAAAGTGGTGTAGAGAATTTTGTCTTCATTTCTGACTTGGTACATTTCCCCAGAAATCCTCACATGTGGGTTATGGGAACACAGTGAATGTTCTTCTGAATGCCTTAAATGCAGCCCACACAGACCAGCAAGTTAGCTGCTGATTTAAAGACAAGACCTGGAATGAGATGACATCGGAATTATAGAGCCCATACTCCTCTGGGAATTGAGTCAGCCTTTTAGATAACCATCAGAGAGTTGGTAGGCCCCAGAGCCTTCATGGTGAAAGTGGCTGTCATATTCTGGCCACGCCTCCTTTCTCTCCCAGTTTGAGGACCCTTTGTGAGGGTCCTTCGCTGAGCCGAAGTGTCCATAGTAGCTCACTTAAAATTTATCTGTGATTCTGTAGCTTATCTTTGTCTCTACTCCAAAGCCTGGTGCTCGTGTAACCATGCAGGAAACTTACTGGAAAGAAAGAAATAGTGTTTTATTTTTTATTTATTTATTTTTTGAGATTTTTTTTTTGCTACAGGGCATGTGCATGTGCCAGAGAGACAGAGAGACAGAAAGGGAGAAATCACCACCCAGTTGGAATGGTCACGCCACAGTCCTTTCTCCTCCAATCTCCACTCAGGATTTTGGGCACATAGGCGTACATGCCTAGCATCAATTTTAAGCCACCAGGTCTGGGACTTGAACCGCCATCAACTACATGGGAATCCAGTGACAACCATTATGCCACCTGCTGGTCCCAGTTGACAACCATTATGCCACCTGCTGGTCCTAGTGAATAGCGTTTTAATCATTCCCTGAAGATGTGTTGTTACAAAGATAAGGTGTTGGCATTCTTATCATCTTGTTTGTGTCTTTTAAATATAACTCCACATCCATCTCATCTTGGGAGCTAGCGAGCTGCCTCTCGCTCTCTGTGGTGAGCTTGGTTCCTTAGGTAAGTCTGATGTCTGTGAACTGGCCTTTCAGCCTGGCGGATTCCTTGACTTGTCCCACAAAGCCTTTGTCTCTTCCTGTCCCCAGGTGAATCTGAAGACAGGCGTTCCTCCTGACAGCAATAATGAGACGTGCACGGCAGGAGCTGGGTCCCTGCTGGTAGAATTTGGGATTCTGAGCCGGCTGCTGGGGGATTCCACGTTTGAATGGGTGGCCAGACGGGCAGTGAAAGCCCTTTGGAGCCTTCGGAGCAACGACACAGGATTGTTAGGTGTGCTGTCACCTTCGCATTGCTGGGACTGGTACCCTTGTCCCTCTCCTCCCATCATCAGGATTCACCTCCTCGACACTTCGTCTTTGCTGGACCATTGAGTCTGACAATTGACTGTAAATGGCCCTCGGTGTCTGCCGTATCCAGTTTCCTGATGTGACCTTAGCTTAGAATGAGTCTGTAAGGTTTGATGGAGAGGAATAATGCTTTTGCTGTAGCAGGGCTCCCTCCCGATCTGGAACCCCTGGCATATTTCACTTAAATTATTGTTAATGGAAATGCTATAAAAAGAACCACCTCTCAGGCAGATTTTATTGCTTTAATATCAAGTTCTAAATATAGGAATAAGTTACTGGTGAAGCAGCTTTTTCCTCTTAAAAAATCTAGGTGTGTGATAGTTTATCGAAAGCTCGGATCAAACGTATATTAACGTATATTTCTTTTTCCCCCTTGAGAATGTTTGGTCAGGATGTTATTTAAAAATTATCAAAAACATGTTGAAAAATGGTTGAGAGAACTTATAATGAGTAGCAACAGCTAGGTACTTCAGTAATTATTAGTATTTTGCTAACTCAAGATGTTATTTTAAAATGGGTTTTTATCTCATTCAAGGGAAGATACTTTCTTTCTGGCATTGGGAAGGAACTCGATTGATTGTCCCAGAGTCATAGTGGGTTGTGGCAAAAGCTTTTCCTTGTTTGTTGGTTTGCTTTTTGAATGAGCGAGCATATGAAACAGAGGGAGGGAGATGCATTTCGATAGAACCTCTCTGTGCAGTCATCCTCCTCTCTTGGCCTCCTAGACAGCCAGGGCTGCAGGCGTTCACCACCACAGCCTGTTTGGGTTGGGCAGGAAGGGCCCCTCCATGGGTGGCAGCCTCCACCCGGTGGTGCCTTTCTGCTGTTGTAGCCAGGCCAAAAGTTTAGTTTTGTGCAAGTGTTTTTCTGTTTTGCTGTGGTGTGCATGTGCTTAGGGGAGAGAGAGAGAGAGAGAGAGAGAGAGAGAGAGAGAGAGCGATCAGCCCCTCCCGCACAGAGAAATCTAGGTGTGTGATAGTTTATCGAAAGCTCGGATCAAACGTATATTAACGTATATTTCTTTTTCCCCCTTGAGAATATTTGGTCAGGATGTTATTTAAAAATTATCAAAAACATGTTGAAAAATGGTTGAGAGAACTTATAATGAGTAGCAACAGCTAGGTACTTCAGTAATTATTAGTATTTTGCTAACTCAAGATGTTATTTTAAAATGGGTTTTTATCTCATTCAAGGGAAGATACTTTCTTTCTGGCATTGGGAAGGAACTCGATTGATTGTCCCAGAGTCATAGTGGGTTGTGGGATTTTGAGCACACACACACACACGTACGTACTCGGTGTGATTTTCAAACCACTGGGCCTGGGACTTGAACCACATAGTCGACCATGTGGAATCTAGCAGCCTTAACTACAACACCACTAGCTGGCCACTGTATAAGTGATTGTTATGTTTTTGTTTTTGTTTTGTTTTTAATTTTTTCTTTAGTTCTAAATTTTATATTCAAATTTGTTGCATTTATAAACAATAAAAGTAATAGAATACCTCAGATTGTCAGTCCATCATCAAATAGTTGACCAGTGTCATCCCAAATTGTTAACTTCATAGCTTACCATAAACCCCTTTAGTCTGGCATGTATAACTCATATTATTTTCAACTATCATACAATATAAGCAAATATTTTTATTCTGTCTTATATTTAACAGGTCATTCAAGTATTTCCAAGTTAGTACCCTTGTTTTTCATAGTTACCATTTTTTTTTCCTTTTTTTTTTTTTAGCTGTAGGGCGCGTGTGCTCACTACAAAGACAGAAAGCGAGAAATCACCGTGCGCTCACTACAAAGACAGAAAGCGAGAAATCACCCCCCAGGGAGGATGGCCACGCCACAGTCCCTTCTCCATTCTCCTCTCGAGATCTTGGACACGCATGCACATGCGCCTGGTGTGAGTTTAAGCCACCAGGTCTGGGGCTTGAACTGTGGCCGACTACATGAGAGTCCAGCGACATAGCCATCACACTAACTGCTGGTCCCCATAGTTACCATTTTTAAAGGTCACCTAATTGTCCATTAACTCTTTTTATCTTAGGTTAGACACTTAGTTCCCTTTTTTTTTCTTTTTTCATTTTACAAATACTTATTTGGTAAACAATATAACGCTTTTTAATTTTTTTTAGGATAAATTCCCAACAATAGCAGTACTGGGTTAAAGGTGATGAATTCCCTCCTAAGATGTTTTAAAATACGTTAGCCTCCGCCCCTCGCCCAAGCTAACTGGGACCTAAAGTGCCTCGTTTGTTTTCACAGGCAACGTTGTGAACATTCAGACGGGCCGCTGGGTTGGAAAGCAGAGTGGCTTGGGTGCTGGACTGGACTCCTTCTATGAATACCTCTTGAAATCTTACATTCTCTTTGGAGAAAAAGAAGACCTAGAGATGTTTAATGCTGCATATCAGAGTATTCAGAACTACTTAAGAAGAGGGTATGTCGCCTCGACCTCTGTGGCCTTGCACTCAGATGGAATGCGCTCTGAAGTGTCCCTGTTTTCCTCAGCATGAGCTCACGGGGTGTCTTTGCCCTCACCTTACCCTCCTGGTTATTTGACAAAGTCACTCAAGGTCAAAGAGCTACATTAGCTGTTCAGGGTGGTACTCTGGCTTAAAACCACAGTCGCGGGACCAGTAGTTCGTGTAATGGCTATGTCACTGGACTCCCATGTAGTTGACCGCGGTTCGAGTCCTGGGCTTGGCAGTTTAAACTCACACCGGGCGCGCGTGCATGCGTGCCTGAGATCCCGAGAGGAGAATGGAGGAGAAGGGATTGCGGCGTGGCCATCCTCCCGGGGGGTGACTTCTCGCTTTCTGTCTCTCTGGCGAGCTCACGTGCCCTATAGCAAAAACCTCCCCCCCCAGCAAAAAAAAAAAAAACAAACAAAAACCCACAGTCACCACCTCTCCCAGTTTGGGAGGGACAGGCAGGTAGAAGCAGCTGAGCGGACTTCTGGCCCCGGTGCTCAGGTTGCCGGGAAGCTGCAGATGTGCCGAGGGGGCTGAGGGTCCCCTTCCCGGCTCGCTCATGTCATGCTTGGCAGGCTTCAGTGCCTTGCAGGCTGTTGGCTGGAGGTCTTCATTCCTTGCCAGGGGCCTCTGCAAGTAGCTCATGGCAGCTGGCCCTTCAGAGTGTGTGATCTGACAGACAGACAGAGGAAGACTGGAAGCCACACCTGGGAATGATACAGAAATGTGTCTGCCAGACTGTCCGTCCCCCAGACCAGCCATGATAGAGCATGGGTGGGACGACACAGGGGTGCGACTGCTGCAGAGTTGTTAGGCTTTGTCACCATCCCTGAAACCTGCAGGATAAAGGGCTGGTTCCACATTTTCTTTCTTCTGAGTTTGTTTAAAACAGGATTTGCCATTTCTCAGTTGGACTTTCAGGATGGTAGGGGAGAGAGCGTGAGGACGCCCCATTCTAAGCTAGAGGGCCTCCCCCCATGTCATTGTCAGTTCCCGGCTGCCCTGACGTACATTTATATGTTAAATGCCCAGAGCCCGTTACAGCTGCTGAGCTTCCCGCTGCGTAGGGTTTTCTTGGACTCATTTCTATGTTAGCCGTTGTAGGGACCCCCTGTGTGAGTGCTGTGTGCGTGAGGATGCCCCATTCTAAGCTAGAGGGCCTCCCCCCCATGTCAGTGTCAGTTCCCGGCTGCCCTGGCGAACATTTATATGTTAAATGCCCAGAGCCCGTTACAGCTGCTGAGCTTCCCGCTGGGTAGGGTTTTCTTGGACTCATTTCTATGTTAGCCGTTGTAGGGACCCCCTGTGTGAGTGCTGTGTATAAATAAGAGGCCTTTGGCCAGAGTTCAGTCATTTTTTATTTCAAAGCCCCAAACTAATTGAGTGGTAATCCGTGAGGGTCTTACCCTGATGCACCCCTCAAGGCCCAGCTGTGACTTTCCTGTAAAAGAGACTCTTTTTGTACGGAAAGAACCAGGCTTTCCTGCTCGGGTCAAATCCACAGTGAAAACCCGATACGTTTTAGCATGGCGTAATTTAGAACTTTTAGTCCGTGGGAACTATTACCTTCTGCTGGAGTCTGCTATAGACCGGGACAGGTAATCTCTCTCCACATATTTCAGGAATTAAGAGAAGAAATTAATGTCGATTTAAATGAATGTCGCAGGGGACTGCTGTAGGAATAGCCCCGGAGTCCCGCCAGTGAGCCTTCTGCCCACTTTTGAATGCGCTGCTTGGGTTTGTAGGCGGGAGGCCTGTAACGAAGGTGAAGGAGACCCTCCCCTCTACGTCAATGTGAACATGTTCAGCGGGCAGCTGATGAACACCTGGATCGACTCTCTGCAGGCCTTCTTCCCCGGACTGCAGGTACAGTGCAGTCAGCTTTGCCAAGAGCAGCAGTCGTCAGAAGGAGCTCACCGCCCCCACCCCCACCACCCCCTTTCTTTTCTTGATACCAGAGCGTACTTGAGCTCCTCTGCACTTGGGGGGTGTCTCGATTATTCTGTTTGTGCGTTTGATCTCCATATGCTGAAAAGGACCACACTAAAAATAAGATCAGACCCACGTTTGAAAAGTAACTCTGAGATTTTGGATCATGCACCCCTTAGTTGTTCTTTCTGTGTTCATTAGGGTGTTGAGGCGCTTCTCCTCTGTCACCTGTATCCCTTTGGCATTAATGGCCAGATAGGGAGGGCGTCTTTTTGTCTGGGTTGTTGACCTTTGGGTTGGTTTTTAGTCCAGCCATGTCCAGTAAGCATGGGGTTGGGGGAGAGGAAGAGGGAGAGCCTCTAGCCTTTGTGTCAAGTCTCGCAACTGAGAAAAGTGACCTGTGTCTCCTCTTCAGGTCCTGATAGGAGATGTGGAAGATGCCATCTGCCTCCACGCCTTTTACTACGCCATCTGGAAACGCTACGGGGCCCTCCCGGAGAGGTATAACTGGCAGCTGCAGGCCCCCGACGTCCTGTTCTACCCGCTGAGACCAGAGTTAGTGGAGTCCACGTATCTCCTCTACCAGGTATGAGAGTCGTTAAGCACGAGTTTGCATTTGAACACCAGGAGGACTGTACCTGTTGGTTCCTAATGGCATGTGCTGATTGACTTAGAATTGCGTTGTTTCTAGAGACTAGAGAATTTCCACCCATCTGTCACCTCATTAGTGTTGGCGCCATTCATGGTTCCACAAGACAGAAGGTGCCTGCAGTCATTTCTGGTTATTTTTTGTTTAGTTATTATTTTAATATGCCAGAGGGCACGCGCACTCATCAGAGAGAGGGAGAGGGAGAAAGCACCCTGGGCGGGGCATCGTTATGCCATGATCCCTGCTCCAGTCCGCCATCCCGCCGGGACTTGGGCATATGGCACACAAGTACCTTGTGTCTTTCTGAAGTCTCTAGGGCTGGGATTCGAACTGCACAACAGAGTATGTGTGATCCAGCTCCCTCAACTACTCAGTCACAGGGCCAGCCCCATTTATTTATTTATTTATTTATTTTAGATTTTTGCTATAGGGCATGTGCATTCACTGGAGCAAGACAGAGAGAGAGAGGGAGAGTGAGAAATCACCCCTGCACTCACCCGGGGGGCTAGCCACATCACAGTCCCTGCTCCTCCATCCTCCTGTGGGATTTTAGACATACACATAAAGTCCCAGTGGGCACAGGACTTAAACCACAGAGTCGGCCATGTGAGATTTAGTGGCTTAACTGCCATGGCACCTGCTGACCCCCCCCCATTTATGTTTTTTAACTTTACATTTTCTTTCTTTTCTTTTTTTAAGAATTATTTAATATTATTTATTCATTCATTTGTCTTAATTTGACCAGAGAGAGAGAGAGAGAGAGAGGGAGGGAAAATGAGAAAGCAAGCCACCAACTCTGGGACATGAACCATGGTTTGCCATGTGAGAATGTCCAGTGCCTTAAGCCCCACGCCACCTGCTGGCCCCTTAACCTCGCATTTCCAAAGCTGTTTCATGGTTTTACAGTTATTTCTCAATTTTAAAAATTTATTATTATTATTTTATTTTTTGCTAGAGGGGCATGTGCACTCTCCAGAGAGACAGACAGCAAGCAACGAGACAGAGAGAGGGAACGGAGAAAGCACTCCCTCCCTCCACTCCAGAGGGTCGTCACACTGCAGCCCCTCCTCCAGCCCTCCCTCATTTTGGAATTTTGGGCACACATGCATGCACATCGGTGTGTTTCTCGAGCTGCTAGGTCCAAGACCTGAATCGCATGCTGAGCCTTGTGATATCCAGCCGCCTCAACAGCCAGGCGATGGGGCTGACCCTATTCTTTTACATCTTTAAATATCCAAGATTACATACTCATTGTATTCCAGATTCATTTGACCCAACAACCCTCTTTTGGAAAGCAGTTCTGTACCAGTGTACTGTGGAACCCTAGTCTTTGTAATGATTAATCAGACAAAAAAGAAAATTCTTTCTCTTGGTTGTAAAGGAAATCATCTACATGCCATTTTTGTTTAATGTTAAACAAACAAACAAAAACATACAGCGTTCATCTTAAGTGAAATGACTGTAGTGCCAGAGGGAACCTCACTTAATTGCGAAATGTGTGAAATGTCTCCCTCTGACAGCTGAAGCCAGATACTTACACCGTGCCATGCCATACGTATATACGTGCCTTGTGGTTGCATCCACTCACAGCGCACAGCTGCCCGCTGTCCAAGACGCTGCCCTTCAGTGCAGCTCGGCAGGCCTGAAACAGACGCCTGCAATAGGCAAGGCCTGGGGAGTGCAGCCTGATTTGTTTTTTTAGAATTATTTTATTTAACTTTATTTCTTTTAATTTTACCAAAGAGGGACAGAGCAAGAGCAAGGGAGAGAGAGAGAAAGTGAGAAAGCAAGACGCCAGGCCTGGGACTTGGACTGCAGTCAGCCACGTGGGAATTTGGCGCCCTTAACCTTCATGCCACCTGCCCGCCCTGGAGCCTGATTTTTATAACCTCTGGTGGTAGGGTTAGTAATTGTGGTTTAGATTTATTAAATTTTGTTTTGTATCAAATCCTCACCAGTTGCTTTAGATAGTGAAAGGGGGGAGCCCTACAAGACTATTAGTAGTAATAGTTATTTCTTTTAATTTTACCAAAGAGGGACAGAGCAAGAGCAAGGGAGAGAGAGAGAAAGTGAGAAAGCAAGACGCCAGGCCTGGGACTTGGACTGCAGTCAGCCACGTGGGAATTTGGCGCCCTTAACCTTCATGCCACCTGCCCGCCCTGGAGCCTGATTTTTATAACCTCTGGTGGTAGGGTTAGTAATTGTGGTTTAGATTTATTAAATTTTGTTTTGTATCAAATCCTCACCAGTTGCTTTAGATAGTGAAAGGGGGGAGCCCTACAAGACTATTAGTAGTAATAGTCCCCAGGTAGTCAGCTGGCGGCACTCTGAGGACAACGTCTGGCTGCCGTTAGGCTTCTCTTACCTTATTCCCGTTGCCTGTGGGCTTATAGCTCTTCGTTTCTGTAACTTCCTCTTTTCTATTTCAACTGTTCCTCACGTTGGCTATTTTCTTAGGCTCCAGAGCAGTCTTCAGCTTTTACAGCTTTGCCTAATCTGAGGGCATGCCTTGCGCTCTTTTAATCCAGAGACTGCTGGCCTCGTCCTTGCTCACTTTTGCTGCCAAGGTTGGCATTAGGCATGAATTAAAGATGACCCCCAACTTGTAAATGGTTTGTGGGATGAAAGTCTCATCTTCCCAGAGAATCGTTTTCCTAACAAAACCATCGAAGGCATGGAGAGTAAGCAACCCGAGGACCGACTTTCTGGGGTAAGGAGAGGAAAGTGTGTGGGGCCTCCGTGAGAGGCCATTGAAAGTCTCGTTCCCATTGGCCTTCCCTCTCAGTGCTGTAACTGGAAGGGGGGCGGTGCTCTGTGTCTCGTACGTTTCTGGAGAACTCGGAGGTAAGACACACCACATCTGTTCTCAGGTGTGGTCCTGCCAGGAGGGCATCATTTCATTTCCAGCCACCTTGGGCAGTGTTGTCCTTCCCTGGAGCAGGTGTTCTGACCTGTCTGAAGTCACACACACTGTAGGCCATCTTGGGCCAGAGCTGGTGGGGCACCTTTAACACCATGACCTGCGAGATCAAGTGAAGTGGGCCCCGTTCCTCCCATTGGCCAGAGCCTCCTCTCCTCGGGGAGCCTGCCGTCTCCGTGGGGTTTGCCGATGGCGTGCCGTCCAAGCCCTTGCTGGATCACCCTCTCTCGTGTTCTCTCTAGGCGACCAAGAATCCCTTCTACCTCCATGTAGGAATGGACATTCTGCAGAGTCTGGAAAAGTACACAAAAGTCAAGTCAGTTTTCTAACTTCCTTTTTCTGTTGGCCACGTTGATTTATTTTGAGTTGTTGTGGGGAAATAGCATAGTTTGCACTTAAGTTTATAAACAGGTCATGAATGTTAACTTGTATGGAAATTGTTTAGCTTTTGGTGTAGTAGAGCCTCTCCATTGAGTTGTGGGGAAATAGCATAGTTTGCACTTAAATTTATAAACAGGTCATGAATGTTAACTTGTATGGAAATTGTTTAGCTTTTGGTGTAGTAGAGCCTCTCCATTGTGGTGGGAATTGCTTTTTATTGTATCCTCTTTTTTTTTTTAAATTTTTTTTTCTCTAAGGTTTCAGCAGGCTGTGTGTGCTGTTTGAAAGTAGCTTATTCTACCTCATTATACAAATAATACATACACAAGAATGTTTAGGGAGTCTAAGAAATAAAGAGGTAGAATATTATCATTGCAGGGTCTATGTACAGAGTGAACAGTCAGCAGTTAAATATATAAACTGATAATCTTTTTATGTATTTATAAATGAATTGTGTATATATGTGTGTGCATATATATACACACACATCTGTATATATATGTGTGTATAAAAGCAAGTTCTGTATTTCAATTTCATGACTTTTCCCCTCCCACCTGTAAAAGATATTTCTTAGAAAATATTAAGTCGTTGGGAGAGTCATGATGTATGTTTCCTATGATTTTCTATGCAAAAATCCATCATGACATTCCCGACAACCCAGTGTCTTTTTGGTTTCTTTTTA